GGTCACACTTTACATTAGGGCTTCATTAGTTAACATTAGTTAATTCATTAGTTAACAAACTGCCAATTAACAATTCTTCTGAACATTCATTGATCTTAAGTATTCCAATGTTTAATAACACGTTGTTAAAATCGAAAGTTGCAACTGTGTTATTTAATGAGCTAACATGAACTAAGACTTAATAACTAATAATTAACAACTTCTGTAGCAAATGTAGCTATTGCTCATTGTGAATGTTAATGCATTAACTAAGGTTAACTAATGAGGTCTTATTGTAAAGTGATACCTATTGGTCTTTATAGTTCTTTTGCACTTTAATCTGTGTAAAACTTTTAACTTTATATGTTTACCAGATGATACGCTCTTTAGCAGACGTCTCCGCGACGTACGTGTGCTAGTATCTGGGATTGTTCTGTATTGCTTTATTGCATTTAAATGTTCAGTTATTTTTGTTATAAGAAAAAAGTTATTAAACCTGTTATACTGTATTATGACAGCACTTTTTTTTTTAAAACTAAATTTCAATATCGTGATAATACCGTGATAAAAGCCTCAGCAATTAATCGCAACATGAAAATTTGATACCGCCATATCCCTAGTCGCGAATCGCTGGGCCAATTATCGGTTGGCGAACGATTGCCATATCAACTTTTAAATACATAACTATACGCACAACCTGTTCCCCAACATGATTTAAAAATACATTTGTCCTTTTAGCTACAAAACCTAATAGCCTATAGCCTAGTTGATCGATTCATGACTAAATGTCACTTTGTTTTAGCCTATCTACGTTTTATAACAATATCTATAGTTTAGAACAACATAGAAAACGTAAATTAAATTGAGACTTTTTACCAAAGTAAAGTAAAAATACAAAAACCCCACACAGATCAATACGGTCATTATCACAATACTACCATTATCCCATCAAATGAATTTGGATTAAGTAGCCTAATTCAGTTTTCGTCGTTTCTTCCCATCTAATTTAAATAAAACAAATGAACAGGATGTGAAAAGACAAACCCAATAATCGTACCTTCAGCGAATGTCTGTAGCCTGTTTGGAGAGAGGTCTGGAGACGAGCGCTCGATCACACCATCTCTCCTCCGGTTATTTCCACACAAAGGGACTAAAAACTTGTTCTCAAGACCTAAAATCTGTCGGTCTACATGTTTCGATTTCCGAAGCTTGTGGTAATGCCCATGCGAGTACAAGAGAAATAGCGAAAGGAGGAGTTACTCCCTGCGCGCGGAGAGACTGGAGGAGACGCGTGCGCTCAGATGAAGGATACCGACACTATACAGATCAGAGACTTACTCATAGTCAGGCAGAGGAGATCTGTGGCCGCTTTCTACTTAAGTTTTACTAAAAGGTTTCACTAAGCATAACATAAGAACTAGATGAAAACATGCCCCGCTTCTTTATATTTTTAAGCAGTAGGCTATCACAATTGTGTTGTGTTGTGTAGCTCGAGTGTCATCACGGCTGTGGTGACAATACTCAGTTCTGTCAGGACCACTATCGTCAAAGATGATTGACAATTAGCATACAGTTTGTATTGGCGGTATGGTTCTGTTCTGGGTAAGAACTCCCTGAGCCTCCATGCAGCCTAGCATGGATGAGAGCAGGGAGAGCAGCGATAACCCCCCCCCCACCACCAGTGTAAACAGAACAGAACTAACATAAATGTATTGCAGATATTGTTAAAGTTCAATCATTTTATGTACACATTTTAGAATTAGTCTGATTCAAGGAGAATCAGAAGGCTGAATCCCGACTGACAGAGGAGGAGTTGGGGATGGAGAAGGGTAATTAGTTATTGAGCAATGCGGAACTGCTGATAATACTGAGGGACCTTATATATGAATGCTTAGATAGGTGTCGTATTCCCATAGGTTGATGGGGATCAGCTGAGAGTCACGCTTGATTTCTACGTCTGTAAATGATATAAATTCAATAAACAAGTCATTAATATCGTGTAATGGAGTGTTTTCACAAGTTAGCTCACATGTTCGTAGATTTAGTGGCCTATTAATTGGAAGTATTACACAATAACAGGAAATTTTGCTTTTGAAAAAGGTGACTTGGCTGAAAATTTGACCGTAAAAAAAACAAAAAACGTATGAAATTTTATGTTTGAAGACAAAAAACAAAACAAAAGCAAGGTTTGAGAGCAACATACAACACGGCGTTATTAGATTTTTGACTCAAAAAAGCTGAGGTATATGATAACTTCGCTACAGCAAGTCACATTTTGACTCTTTTCCAGAAAGTACCACAAGAAAATCTAACAGGGGTAGAACAGGTCTCTATGGTAACCAGTGGCATCTTGGCAGGGAAAATGTCTGTGTGGGTCAGTTAACCAGGGTAATATGATTTGCCATGCAGCAGTGTGCTTTAATTCGATCCGTATCAGAGCTCTCTTCCCTCTTGCATTTGCACAGACTCTCCTAATGGCATAAATCACTGTGTCATTCTCCAAATTCTCTCAAAGTTCATCAGTGAAGAGCTTTCAAGCTTCAGGAAGGACAAAAGAATCATAAAACAACCCATTTGGTGATGCTAATGGCATAGAAATTATTGTTTTGATGCTCCATATAGAGGCAGAATGCCGAGATATGATTTGAAATGAAAAGTCCTTATGTAATTTGTATGGTCTGTCACATAAATATAGACATACTAGCATTGCTCTAACAACCAAAAGTGTCACCACAAAAAATGACTCACTGCCTTGTTTTGCTTATGGAGTTCAACTTCCATTATTGGAGCTGGCAGAGGTTAGCAAAAGATATTAGAATTCATCAGCTGGGGCAAAGCATATTATAAGCTTGACGAAACAGAGAGAGGAAAGGCCTGGACTGCTTTTTGACTGCATGTGATTTGATTTTATGGTTCATTTTCATTAAAATAATGAAAAATACTGACATGCATTACATTTCATAACACTAAACAGCTAATGGAAATGCAATCAACCTACTACTTATGAATGGAATCACTAGTTTCTTTGTTTAGCAATCATTTCAAATGACTGAAAAAATTGCCAGACTTTTACACTGCAGGAGGGTCCTTTTGACTTCAAGTCTTAATTATGCCATAAATATATAGAAATGATCACATACGGAGTCATATCCATGAAATTGTCAAAATTATGAGATACTCAAAATTATGATACAAAATAAAAAGTCAAAATGATGGCATAAAGTCAATTATTATAAGTCAAAATTATGAAAATAAAGTTCAATTCATGACAGGTCATAACTATGAGATAAAAGTCAAAAGCACTAGATAAAAAAAGTGCATTACGAGATGTTATAATGACAAAGCGAAATGATGACATTCTAATTAACGAGAAGATAAGAAGTAAAAAATAAAAAATACAATCACCTAAACTGAGATGTGTCAATATTGTGAGATGAAAAGTTGAAATGACAGCCGGATAAAAAGTCAGTTATGGGATAAGTCATAATTATAACAATGTTGATATTATGACATGCTAAGTGATAATTATGACAAGTCAGTTATGAGATCTAAAGTTTGAGATAAAATAAAATGATGACAGTTAATTTATGAGACAAAAAAGGCAATTATGGGATAAAAGTCAATTGAGATTCAAGTTAAAATTGTGACATGCAATATGACAATTTTATAATTCAAGTCATAATTTTGAGGGAATTTTTTTTTTGACAAATTGAAATTGAGATTTTAAGTCAAAATTATGATAGAATTTTTTTTTAAATCTCATAAAAAATTATGAGTAATCAATAACTTTCAATCAGAATTGCAAGTTTATATCTTGCAATTCTGAGAAAAAGTCACTTATTAAAAAACTCATAACTGTGAGTTTAGTCAGAATTGCAAGACTAAAAATAAATCAATAAAATTAAATGTTATTTAAATTGATTAAAAAATGAAAATTCGGTCATAAATGACAATTATGACTTCTCAATTCTCAAATCAGGTTTTTGCATCAAGTTTTTATGCCATATTGACTTATCAGTTATAATTTACCAAAGCATGATTTCTTTAATTATGTAACAAAAGTCAAAATGATGGCATAAAGTCAATTATTATAAGTCAAAATTATGAAAATAAAGTTCAATTCATGACAGGTCATAACTATGAGATAAAAGTCAAAAGCATTAGATAAAAAAAAGTGCATTACGAGATGTTATAATGACAAAGCGAAATGATGACATTCTAATTAACGAGAAGATAAGAAGTAAAAAATAAAAAATACAATCACCTAAACTGAGATATGTCAATATTGTGAGATGAAAAGTTGAAATGACAGCCGGATAAAAAGTCAGTTATGGGATAAGTCATAATTATAACAATGTTGATATTATGACATGCTAAGTGATAATTATGACAAGTCAGTTATGAGATCTAAAGTTTGAGATAAAATAAAATGATGACAGTTAATTTATGAGACAAAAAAGGCAATTATGGGATAAAAAAAAGTCAATTGAGATTCAAGTTAAAATTGTGACATGCAATATGACAATTTTATAATTCAAGTCATAATTTTGAGGGAATTTTTTTTTTGACAAATTGAAATTGAGATTTTAAGTCAAAATTATGATAGAATTTTTTTTTTAATCTCATAAAAAATTATGAGTAATCAATAACTTTCAATCAGAATTGCGAGTTTATATCTTGCAATTCTGAGAAAAAAAGTCACTTATTAAAAAACTCATAACTGTGAGTTTAGTCAGAATTGCAAGACTAAAAATAAATCAATAAAATTAAATGTTATTTAAATTGATTAAAAAATGAAAATTCGGTCATAAATGACAATTATGACTTCTCAATTCTCAAATCAGGTTTTTGCATCAAGTTTTTATGCCATATTGACTTATCAGTTATAATTTACCAAAGCATGATTTCTTTAATTATGTAACAAAAATGGACATGAAAAGGCATAATTACGAGTCAAAATTAACCAAACCAAATGTGTTTCTTCAATTAAACTTCATTAGCTTAGTGTCCAATGCTAATTTGGTTCCGGCAACATTCAGCTTTCTTTTCCACCTTCTCTAAATGAGGTAATATTTTTTGCTTCCCCAGCTGCTCTTATTAAGATACCAGGCGTCTTCAGGGCCTTGAAGAAAGCTCATTAAGATGCCATTAACACTAATTGGACCAAACAAGGAAGAAGATTCAGGACCGGTGGAGCTCTACCAACCTGTACCTTTCTCTTGTCTCCACTGTTTGTGTGGCACATTATAGATGCACTTGGTTACACGACATCCTGTTTGAGTAATTTAATATTTCAACATGCTCAGTGGAGCAACAATCCTCCCACGGAGGACTAAATATTCCAAAAGGCGGAAAACCAGTGGGTGGAATTGATCGAAGGTACATAAAAGAAAACAAAACAGGGAAACCACTGATTGAATTTCGTACACTGCAGCACGTTTTTAGAAACAATCTAGTAAAACTAGAAAACACTGGTCACGGAAAGATGAACAGCGCATCGGTAGCATGTCCACATGTGTATGAAATCATATCAAGCTTGTAATGACATTGTTTGACAAACTTGTTTGACATTGTCTTGCCTTTGCAGATCATGAGTGGCGAATTTTTTGCGAAAAGTCCCAGAAAAGCGGTTCGAGACAGAAAATTTGCGCTCAAACAAAAAGGACTCCAAAAAGGATTCCGTTTTGTTATACCTAAAAATTATATTAGATGCAAAACAGACACAATTAGACACAATTTTCAGTGTATCCTCCTCTTATGGCCAGTTTGGTCCATAGAGAAAAAACTAACACAAAACTTCAGCACTGTACATGCAAATACATAAAAATAAAGAACAGCGTGCTACTGGAGAGATATTGCGCTAAAAAGAATAAGAAATGTATCCACTTTGATGTGCCCTCTGCTGCTTTTCTTATATATCATTTGATATATTTCTGGGATGTTGCAGCCAAAAACCGAAAGAACAAATGTTATTGAACATGACAAAAGTACAAAATGCACCACTTGTGGCTGGTCAAGCTATGTAATTGGAGCGCCATGGTAGGATGTTTGCCCCGGCGGACAGGCGCGCAGCTGGTCTCCGAGCTAGCGGAGATGCGTGGTGCTGGAACAGAGGGTTTGGAACTGGTCCCAGATGAACTGGACTGCCGAATAACTGCATCATAAAGTGGGAGAGCTGGGGCTGGACCAGATTAATGGGTACACCTGGAAAAACTAGGAAAACTCATGTCGTCAAAGCAAACATAGTTGATTTGGATTTCATACGGCTATTTTTGAGGAAGTAAGATATTTCGTATTGTGGCATTGAGGTGTTGTACCTGGATAGCTGGTGTTGATCCTAATGGGGCCAGGGGTGTGAGGGCTGGTGCATGTGGTTGAGATGGTCTTTGGTTCAATTGGAGATGCACACATCTGCGGTTCACATACTGCTGCTTGGGCAGGTAGAGGAG